ACACCTGTCAGAATGGCTGTTATAAAAAAAATAAAACACCAGAAGTGGTGGAGAGGATGCAGAGAAAAAGAAATCCTTTGTCACTGCTGGTGGGAATGCAGACTACTGCAACCATTGTGGAAAACCATATAGAGTTTCTCAAAAAAATTAAAAATTGAGCTCCCATTTGATTAAGTACCCTCTCTTCTAGGCAAATGTATCCCAAGAAATGAGTAACATTAATCAGGACAGATATATGAAACTTTATGTTCATTTCAGTCCAATTTACAATAGCTAAGATTTGGAAACAGCCTAAGTGCCCATCAGTAGATGAGTGGATTAAAAAAACTGTGGTACATCTACACAATGGAATACTATGTAAAAAGAGTAAAAAGGTACTCTTACCATTTGCAACAGCATGGATGAACCTGGAGAGTATTATGCTAAGCGAAGTAAGCCAGTCAGAGAAAAATGAGTATCACATAATCTCTCATTTATGGAATATAATGAACATAAACTGATGAACAAAAATAGATCCAGAGACACAGAAGCATTGAACAGACCGTCAAACTTCAGAGGGAAGATAGGGGTGCGGGGTGGGGGTAAGAGATCAACCAAAGGACTTGTATGCGTGCATATAAACATAACCAATGGACACAGACAATAGGGGGGTAACAGCCTGTGCTGGGGTTTGGGAGAGGACTGAGAAAGGTCAATGGCCGAAAAAGGAAACATATGTAATACTTTCAACAATAAAAAAGTAAACTAGCAAAACAAACAAACACACAAATAAAAAAAACACCCAAAGTGGCACTATTCAGAGCTAGCCATTTCTAACACCCTGATATAATTGTTTTCATTTTTTTTCTAAATTTTCTATGCTTTACTATTCAAAACAAGTTCTATGTGACCTGTTTTTTCCCTTGATATTAAACATTATCTATTTGTTCATCTAATAAATATTTAGAGGGTCTTCAATTACATGTTTTTAAATAGCCACAAGACATTCAACATGGTCCACGTTTTATTGACTTGCGATCAACAAAGGAGTAAAGTTGCAAATGTATGAATACAAATGTAACCCGCCATTCTCCGGAGCACTATCTCAATTCGTTGAGGTTCTGCTTCCCGGCATATGTCGACAGTTTGGCTCAAATAAACTCACAAAAATTCTTTACAGGTTTCAATGGTTTTTTTATGTTAACATTACAGAGGGCATTTTAGCCTCACTCATGACTTCCCTTAACAAACAACAGTGGAGGTAATGAGCAGACAGACAACTCTTTGCTTAAAGATATAGACTGTATTTTGGGTGGTCCGGTGGCCCACCTGCATATTAATGACAAAGACAATACCTATCCCTTCAAGGGATGCAGACATGGGGGAGCCTACAAAGTCCTTTGATTGTGCTGGGTCTTCCTGAGCAGGCCAACATTTCCCTCTGAGGTGAGAGTTGAAAATTGGGGTGGGATCCTGGTTGGGTGGCACAAGCCACTTGAGGACAGTGCCGAGGACAATGACGGGGGTGGCCTAAGCCTGAGGAAGACTGGAGTTGATGGGAGCAGGAGCGGTGCCTAAGCTTACTGTTTGGGGAATGGGAGCCTTCCAAGGAGGCCAGGCCCACCTGCTTCTCAGTCGGAGGAGATGGGGCTTTGGGGTCCCCTCTTATCTTCTTCTCTGTCTTAGTTTGCTCCGTGGGACTTTTGGCTGGAGCCAGCCTCTTTGCTACACTTTCTTTTCTGGTGTTGGCCACGTTCACAGCTGTCGAAAACATGGATTCCTTGTGCTCTTTGCCTTTTGCCTTGAAGTTGATATACTGCAGAAAGGATTTCATCTTATATCTCAAGTCTGCTTCTGGAAGGCTGGGCCTCTGGTGACTATGGGCTGGCTTCACCTGCCCCTGCAATTCCTGACCTTGCAAAGTTGGGCCCTGTAATGGCTTATGCGGAATGCGTTGGGCCAGGACAGGCTGGGCCTGTGACGCCTGGGGCCCAACAGGCTCAGCATTCTTAGGAATCCTTGCTCCCTTGAGGCTGACATTGATCCTGGTTTGACTGTCTTGCAGGTCATTCTTCTTAGATTCCTTCCCTCCAGGGGCTCCTGGAAGGAGCTCTGGGGGCTTAAGCTGAGGGTGATGCTGGGAACTCTGTTGACAGAGAGCATCAAGGCGAAAGCCATGTCTCCGAAAGCCTTGTCTCCATAGCCAGGGGCTTTGGGGTGTCCTGTTCAGAAGCATCCCTTGTGGTCTCTGGGCTACAGGGTGGCTTTTTTCTCTTGTTGAGAAGAGCGCAAACCCTGCATCTCCTTCTCTATGCTTTCCTGACGATTTGGGTTTCCTTGGGTCCTCTTTCTTTTCAGTCGGCATGGGGTCTGGGGCTGAGTACTTGCTCTTGCCAGGGCTTTGGGACTCAGAGATCTGGGACTCCTCCAGGCTGGGGTGGTTCACACTGGCCTCCAGCTGAACACAGAGCACTGGGCCCTCTGTCATGTCTCTACAGGGTTGAGTCATCTTGCAGGGCTCATGGGCAGAACCATGGGGTGCTGCTCTGGAACTAGGTTGCTTCTGGCTCTGCTGCACTGCCTTTAACTCAGTGGACAACTGTTCCTTAAGGGAGAGCCATTCTGGATGTGGGGCACAGGGAGTGTCTGGTGGGATGGGCAGTTCCTGGGGGCATGTTTTTCCTTGGTTGTTTAGACCCCCAAGAGACTCCTGTGTGGCTGTGTTCTCTGGGGTTGCTCCAGTTTGTTCTCTGGACTCCCTCGCCTCTGTGGGAATTCCCCATCGTATCTCTAAGACCTTCCTTCTCAGGTGGAAATTTAGTTTGGCCAAGATGGGCCTCTTGAATAAGTAGGGCTGAGCAGACTCTGTCTGTCTTTCTAGAGGCTCCATCTCAATCATTCCTTCCACTTGCACTTCAGACTGCAAATCACCTGCAATTTCTTCACAAGTCTCTTTGGTATCCTGAAAAAATGGCTCACGACTTAGATACTGCTCTTCAAGTGAGATCATCTGAGTCAGAGGTTCTGTTAAGATTTTGACAGCCTCAGGCACCACCTCTGTGGTGGCAGCATGAGCAGTGATCGCTGGGGCCATGGCCTTGGAGGGAGCCACGTAATAAAGAGGATTCAGCCCTGATAAGAAGGTCAGATACTTGTGCCGTAAAATCATCTCCAGTTTCTCAAGGACTTCCTTGGACAGGGCTCGAGTTAGCTTGCGAGGCTCAGTGGCGGCATCTGGGAAGGTCTCTTGCTGCTGATCAGGGACTGTTGGCATCCAGTGCCTAACTTTCTGTTGTAGGTCAGGGTCGGTTGCTGCCTGTAGTTCCAAGAGCTTGCTTTCTGGGATGCAAGTAAAGGGAGCCACTTTGAGGCCCCCAGGAATTAGGCACTCACAAGACCTAGACACATGGGCAGGGACCTTACCCTCATGAATCTGCCCACATTTGGAGTTGATGTGGCTTTGCAGTATTGCCTTGACCTGGTCTAATAAGTGTGGCATGAGGACTGACACGGGGTCCTTAGAGGGTGAGAAAGGGTCATCAGCACCAGTAGCCTCTAGGGCTGAGAACAGAAATGGGCTTTCCCGGCCAGGAAGTTTTCACAGTCCTAGGAGACTGGGCTGTGCCACAAGACTTATATTGCACAGGGTTCTGGGTGTGCTGAGCTCTCTGGAGAACAGCTGGCAAACCCCACTGACACTGGAGCTGCCTCTGCAGCAGGTGATACTCTAAGGCTTCACACTCAGCCAGAGTCAGAAACGGGACATGGATCTGTGTTTGTTGATGATCAGATGGTATGACCCAATTAGGGGAAGATGAGGAAGAGGGTGGGGCTGACTGAGGTGGAGTTTTAGGCAACAGAGGGAAGAAGGACAGCTCCTTGAAGAGAAAAGGATCCTCCAAGGAGAGCTTGGACATGCTCCCATCTGTGGAGTGATCTAGAGAACTCAAGGAGGCATTAGCCAGAGACTCACTGTGCAGGGAAGATAAGCCACAGAATAGTTGGATGTATTTCTGCTGTAAATGGCCCACTGAGTCATTAGCCTGTTGGCCAGTAAGTGGGTAGAGGCCACTTAAGTCTTTAAATATTGGAGAGGGCAAGGCTAGAGCCAGGTGGTTTGGGTTTTGCTGGTAGTGGTGTCTTTGTACTGGGTTTATAATGGACCATTCAGAAACCCAGAATGCCTGGGTAGCCTGGCCAGCCATACATGGACCCCAGGTCTGATAAGAAATGGGCGCAAAAATCTCTACAGAGAATTCATTTTGTATGAAAGAAGCTGGTTGGTTGTTTACAAGTTGGTAAAACAATGGTAGGTTTGGCATAAACTGCTTCAGAGACTTCTCTACACGTCTGGGCAGCCCCCACCTCTGGAAATGCATCCATTTTTTTACATGTACCTCAAGAAGCCTCAGGACTTCAGGACTGGAGAATGGCAGGTAGGAAGGGAGGATAGTGACCATAGGCAAGGCCATAGAATGTGTCAGGGTAGTGATGTCTTGGTTCAGGGTCAGCACAGGGACCTGGGGATGCAAGGGTGGCTGACCTTGGTTCCCATACACACGGTTGAGATTGTGTTGTGTCACCTCCTGCTGGTTCACCGGAATTCTAGGCCCTTCGAACTGTAAAGAAGACATAGTCTCATGCAACCTAGGCATATCTTGACTTTGAATTCTCTGTCCTAGATTGACATTTTTAGCCAAGTAATCTTGCATACTCACTGGATCGTCTGATTGGCCAGCTGAGTGGGTAAATGACCGGCATAAGGACTTCTTAGCTGTTAATTGTGACACTGTTTGGGTTGCAGATGGAAGTGAGGGCTTTTGAGTCTGTGTGGAATGATGCTCCAGACTCTGCTCAAAAGACATATTGGACTTGGGCAAAATCTTTAGGCAAGGAGAGCCCTCTGATGGTCCTGGTGAAGTTGTATAGAGTGGGATGTTCTCATCCACCAGCAACTGTTGGATCTCCAGAGCCATGGCATTACAGATTTGGCAGCAGGCATCTGCACACAGGAGCTTCCTCACACTTCCCTCCTGAGGAAGCCAGTCCTGGCTGGAAGAGGAAACATGGCAACTGTTATTGATGGAATGACAGCTTCCTCTTTGGAAGTTGTGGCCTGACTATTGGCCCTGACTTCCCTGTACACCTTGGGTCCTACCTGCCTAGTACTTAGTCTTCTACTTTTCTTCCTAGGAAATCACCACTTTGCAAGTTACGGTGTGCTGGGTTGAGGGACTTGTTGGGCAAGGTTTCAGACAACGCATGAGAGCACAGGGCCATGAGTGACTGAGAAGTGGGTGAGTTCTTTGTTGACCTGGGCTGAGCAGCTTAACCAGAGATGGGAACAAAGGATGGGGGAGCCAATGGTTAGCTGATGGGGCATCAGAAGGGCCATCACCAGGTAGAACCTGGACTCAGTCTCATTTGGGGCAAAGACAGATACAGCCTGGTACTTAGTATTTCTCAGCTGTGGAAAATGAGGTCACATGGAAATTCTGCTTTCAGGGGACTGTGATGTGTACACAGCACCTCTTGGGAGTCCATCCCATTCTCTAGAGCTCTTAAGAAAAGGAAGAGATGACAAGCTCCCGGCTGAGGGCTGTCTCAGGGACTGGGCTCCCTGAAGACACAATCAGAGGAGGTAATGTCAGCAAGGTCTAGGGTTCTGCCCTTGAAAAGGTGTTGCTGTAAGAAGAATATAACAGTGATGGCGTATTTATGCACTTATTTATCCATTCTCTTAGCTGGATAACTGGTCTTTGGCTGAGTATCAACCCCTTTAGTGTCTTTTGTGAATTAAGCACTAGTCAAATTCTGAATTCCAGGAGCACTGTGAGCTTAGCCCAGAGCAGAACTGGGACTCCTCCCTCCGGAGATGTCTGAGCCCCCTTTGCCCTGGCAACCGTTTCAACAGTGCTCCAGCCTCTGCTGTGTCTGACTCCATCCCACTCATCATCCCTCATCCCTGTCCCAGGTCAAGTTGTCCAGGCTGAAGTTGGAAGACTACAAAAATCAAATGATCACCTTTTCATGACAGAGAGCATCTCCCACGGCTTCTCCGTTTCTTTCCAGAAATGTCTCCTAGCTGAAAAACCAGGAGACAGTGTTACATGGAATGAGAGAGGATTGAGGGTATCCTACAGGAATCTGAAGACCTTTGAATGAGAGAAAATTGGAAATCCTAACAGTCAATGCTCTGAGGCATGTCTGTATACAACTTAGCCAGTTACAATGAGTTGTCCAGGACCTAATCTCATTAGATCATCACAGCCACACTGTGAGTGAAGCAAGATCTTCAAATGCCCATTTAATGAATAAAGGATTGAAAAATAAAGTGACTGGGAGAGGAACCAAGATGGTGGCATAGGTAAATACCTGAATTTGCTGCCGCACACAACCACATAAAAACTACAACTAAAAGACAAAACAGGTATCATCCAGAACCACAGGAAGGCTGGCTGAGTGGAAGTTCTACAACTAGAAGGAAAGAGAAAAACACACTGAGACTGGGAGGAGGTGCAGAGGTATGGAAGTGCAGAGGTACGGAGGAGCGCGAAACGGGCTGGCAACTGGGTATGCTGTTGTCTTTCTCAATCGGGAGGGAGATACAAGCTCCTGACTGCTCTGAACTCCAGTTCCAGGTGAGACTCTGGGGACCCAGACTCATATGGGGAGAAACTGGACTGTCTGGCATCTGGTCAGAGCACGAGGGCAGCTTTCTCTCAGAGGTGCTTGCAGGGATCATTGTTCCTGCATGGGGCCACAGGACATAGAGACCACAGGACCTCTCTGAGGCAGGGCTGCTAGACAGCCATTGCTATTTGTTCCACCCAAGTGATACCCTGAGACCCCACCCCACCCAATTTACAATCCCTCCCAAGTTGTGTACAGTGGCTTTTGCATATAAATGGCCTGGCCTTTTGCAATCTAAAACCTAAGAAACTGCAGCTGGGTCAGAGAGCCCCAGAGCTTCCAAAAGATGTCCTGCATTGCTTCACAGTGGGGCCTCATCTGGGCACCTCCAAACCCCAAACAAAGAGGAGGAATCTGCAAATCTCTCTGTAGCTCCTGCCGGGTGGCCTCAGGCAGTGGCTGACTTTGCACCTCCTTGGATATCCAAGAGCCAGTGTACCCAGTGGTCAGAGTGAGACCATACCAGATTACAACTCTTTGCATCCATAAGACACACACTCAGGGGGCAAACTCAGTGAGCACCAAAGCCCCACTGAAGCAAGTCCTGCCCTATAAGGGTATCTCCAGAGA